ACACACACACACACACACACACACACGACAAACCGCTCGTGGGGGCCCTGCCTATTGATCTCTAAACATCTGGAACACCTCATATTTGTTTTACAAGGCAGTGGCGAGCAGTCCCGTGGCCCCCGATAGGGGAGTGAGGCAGCAGCGGCAGCAGCACCAGGACGGACCACTTGACACCTTGCTTCACGGCATCGATATGCAGTAGTGTGATACCAGCTCTGCGGAGACGAGAAGGCCAGTCCATGGCATCTTGATATTAAACCGTGAGCTCTGCGCATTCCTCGCCGACAGCGTAGTCTTTTTTTTCTCCCCCTGCGGAGTCGAAAGGATTAACTTGGCCGAAAAAAGGTGGCGAGGGAGGAAATCTTAATAATTCAATTTGAGCTGATTCTGTTTGGGGGATTCGTGGGATACCATTGGACCTGCGATGGACTCCAGCGCGGGGGAATATGGCATGGCTCGTGTCGGATTGTTTTTGGTTTTGATGGGGCTGTGGAGATTTAGCGATGCTTGCCCCGCATCCTGCACTTGCAGCATCTCAAGAATTGTTTGTATTGATTCTGTACCAGGGATCGAGGATTTCCCTGTCCTCACGTTAGATGACATGGAAAACATCACTGAGATGTAAGTGTATGAAAACGATCGCACCGACAGCTTATTAACTCATTAGGAAGCAATGCGTAAAGAGCTCCCCTGGAATCTGTAGGTCGCTGGAATATCAAATAGTTGGGGCTGGTATTTTAATAATAATATTAATAATAACAACAATAATTATAATAACAATAAGGGTGAGAATAAGATCAACGGCGTTATTAATGGAGGTTTGGAATCTCCTTGTGGATTAAACATCAGTAGAGATCGATGTTTAGCGCTTTTCCCGACACAGAATTTATTTTATTCTTATAACCAATGTCAGATCATGTAGCCTCGTATATGTGTGCTTGCGTGTGCTTTTACGCGCGCGCGCATGTGTGTGTGTGAGACAGAGGCAGTTGCTCGCGTGCGCGAGCGCGTTATGGTGGCGAGGTTGTGCGTCAGGCTTATTTGCATTAGTCGGTGTTTTCCTTTACAAAACAGCTCCAGTGGTAGTGATGGAGTAAATTTTCAGGCCTAACGGAGCCTCCGAGGTGCTCACTCGGTTTTTGGGCGGCGGTGTGAAGCAGCCTGAATACTTCATGCTGTTGGCACATTACACATGAGATCGCATCAGTTGTGTATAGCTGCCAATAGGCTACCCACAGTTGTGTAGAGCCTCATCTGCGTCAGTGTGTAGGTCTGTGTTGAAGCTTACCTGTTACAACCCCGCACAAGTACACCACTGCATGGCACCCAGCGGAGCAAAGGGGAGACTGAGTGAGTTTTCGGAGGCAGGCAGGCTGAATAGGCGTCACATCAGTTTACCGTGAAGGTAGTTTACTTGGGGTCAACGTGTTTATTCGCGTTTTTACTTTGCAGATAAAAAGAAAAGTCTTTCAGGTGCCTATATGGTTTTTTTTAATGTTCTTCACTTTGTAAAGAATGCAGTTGTTCCAGATTTCTTTAAGGCAGTGTGTACAACATCAGTGAAGGACATCAGGCCGGGCACCTTCTGAAAATCAACCAAGAATTTAAAAATTCCTGTTAGTGATACTTTAAGGCGTCACTTCGAAAGCACCACTGGCTCTTTAGATACATTTTGTAGTTTTAGGGCATCCTCATGTAAACAAAATGTTTCCTACTAACACATGAAGCAACCAGCAGTCAGTCTCAAACCCATCAGTAGGTAGCAACACTCACAAGTTGTTGTTGTTGTTGCTTGTTTGTTTTTTTCAGATCATTTGAAGCTTTAACGAAATACTAGTTAAAACAGGACAATCATTCCACCTCAAAATAATTCATAAATGTTTTTCATTCTTAAAAACTCTATAAAATATGTAGTTACTTGCTACAAATTCAGAAAAACAATTTCAAGTTTTCACTGTGTTCTCCAAAAGTCTCATTTGTTAAATATTTAAAATTTCGTGTTAGTACTGTGTAGGAATGTAAAAGCAGCATCTTGAAGAAAATCTATAAAACAAAAATACCACCACTTTTTCAGTCTCCCCAAATTACACTGTTGAAGCAGAGCACAAAACTCAGAAGACATGAAAGTAGGCATTTTATGACCATAGAGAGACAAGAGGTGGACCGTAGTAGTGCCTCTTACCAGAAGCAGATTCAGGAACAGTGAGATGGGTAAAGCTTCATCTGTGCCAAGTTCAAGGTTTCACCATGAGGACCTACTGTTCCCAACATGGACCTTAGCTAAAAAAAAAGTAAAATAAAATTACTAAAAATTTAGATATGGAAAAAAATCACACTCCTAAGGATATCAATGTCTGAAAGCACCTTCTCACCTAAACTGAAACCTCTCAGCATAGGCACTGTCCAGATAACTAAACCTCCCAAACGCTGGAAAAAAGCCATCTTTTGGCATGATAATTAATTTAACAGCGTGGGCATGTGATGACGCTTTACATTAGCAAAGGACTAGACAAAGGAAAAAAGACAAACCTTTAAAAAAACTTTCTTCAAATCACAAAACTTAGTTAAATCTCGCTGTAGAGCAAAGAAACATAATAGTGTTTCTCTTTCTCGGCACTAATTATTTCACAGACATGCCTCCTTTCCAAACAGAAACCTGCTTACTCCAAAATACAATTACATGCTTCAGCATAAATAAAAATAACTTTTCAATGTGTACGTAGACACATCTGCGATTGCTCAGTTGCAACTTTGAATTTGATTCCAAACTTCACATATAAAGGCACCATCGTTCTGTCTGCAACTTTGAGTTTCTTTATATATCAGCAGCTGTAAGGTCTCCTGCTTATCAACCTCCAGCCAAATACTGACACACCCAGTCTGATCGTGGCTCAGGACCCAGATTAAGCTGCTAGACTGTCCCTGCACAGTGTTTTACCTGGTTAGAGTTAATAACCCCAATTCATTCATTCTTATCGAGCTAATTTCCCTACAACTTATTATTATTATTATTATTATTATTATTATTATTATTATTGGTGACATACCCAGCCCCCACGTTAAGCTTTTTTCCCCTAGAGGTGCTATTTTAAAACAAAAACAGTTTATTACAGTTATTAGTCCACAAAGTTGTTTAAAAACCCCAAAAAACCCCATTGTTTTTAGTAAACAAGGTAAACATGTTATACTCACAAATGCACAGACAAGACTCCTTGAGTAAAACAGCTAGCTTAACTTGGGAGCAGTACATTTTTACCTTGCTGACTCACAAAAAACAACAAAATGAGTTTTATTTTAAAAAAAAGTTATTAGTTTTATAAAATACACACATTTCCCATTCAACACTTGAGTTTTTGGAGAGTTAGTTAGGACCTGTATCTCAATTCCAGTTTAAATCACACTTTTGACTCAATATTTGACATTTTTTGTGTGAATATTTGACTAAAAACCTGCACCATACCAAGCTTTCCCTTTCATCTTGTTTTTCCACAGATACATTGCCAATCAAAACAGACTGTTTGACTTGAGTGACAGCAGTCTGAGGCACTACATAAACCTAAGAAACCTGTAAGTAGAACGTTCAGTGTTGTGTTTTTTATGGTTAAAAGTGGAGTTAAAGTTCATGTAACTACAATTTAACTTCCAACAGAACGGTCACAAAGACAAGACTGACATCTATATCACCGGACGCGTTTTTTAACAATACAAGACTTCAATATGTGTAAGACGAATTTTACAGAGCCTCTCCAGTTATTTCATTATTAAACGTGTAAGAATGCTTAGTTGAATATTTTCTGTTTGGTTGTTTTTTTTTCTCTCCTCTCAGAAATCTCAGAGACAATAACTTGTCAACACTGTCATGGAGAACATTTCAGAACTTTAACATTACATATCCGTAAGTGACGCATACGCACAAGACTATCAGTGTATCTATGTCTTTTCTATGTAGTGTCACATGCACTCTATTTTCTTTCTAGGCTACTTCTGTCTGGGAATCCTCTGGATTGTGTTTGTGAGAACTTGTGGATCAAGCTAAGACTCCAGGAAGAAACAGACAGTCCCGAGCTGACATGCACAGATGACAGAGGAGTGGCGCAGGACTTTGCTACCTTCCGGCCGCCAGACTGTGGTAAAGTGAAACCATCCCACAATAAGCAAATCTGAGTAGACTGATTGATATCGAATGTTTGAATGAGTGGATGCACAGTAAGGGACTGAAAGAAAGACAGAAAGAAAGTTTAAAGGGAAACAATCTGATCAAGTTTCCTTTTACTTTTATGGTTTGCATGTTTTCTCACAGTGGTTCCCACCGTAGAGGTCACCCCCAGAAATGTGACTCAGATGGAGGGGAGTAATGTCAAAGCTATTTGCAGTGCCTCAGGCTCCCCTGCTCCCGAGATTGTGTGGAACCTTGATGAGCTCTGGACCCACTATGAGGTAAGGTGATCTACCTTTCTGTTTTCATTTTTAAACCTTTGGCACGGCTCCACCTTTACGGAGTCTCGAAGAGCTTTACTTTGGTGATATTTTATACTTTTAAAAAGTTTTTATAAAATAATATGTAAATTGTTATTATTATTACTATTATTATTATTATTATTAATATAATAAAATAAAATAATCACATTTAATTTAGTTGTTTTCATGGGAAAATCAAATATATAGATAAGAAGAAGTTGATTAATGCCACTTTCTAACTCACTAAAAAGCCTCTGTTGCCAAACTTAATTAGCTTATGTTCTTTAGTGCTTCAGTGTTTCAAAACACATCGTATTCCTTGATTATTACAAACATGGGCATTGAAAATTTTAAGTGACCTGCTGTTTTTAAATGTATATATTTAATTTATCTTTATCCACGTGAACAGTATTTCCAACAAACGGGACGATTTTAACAACTAGTATTTTTAAACAACTATGAGGACATGGACTAGACTGGTCTGAGACTAGTTTCTAATTTGAAGCAGCTTACTGAAAACAATGCAAAACACATCAC